AGGAGAGTGATCCCGTGTACGACTTCCTGTTTTTTGGCGGGATGGTAATTTTTCGTCCCTTCCGATCATCAGGGATGTTTGGTGGAATGTAATCCTCCCTACCGATACAATCAATGCAAGACTCAATGCATACATGTTTGGATCCACCAGGCCAGTTAGTTTCTTTAGTAAGATAAGGTTAATTTAAGGTAAGATGAAGAAAGGTAAAGGTATTTAAGATAAGATTGAGGTAAGAAGCAAAGGGTGGGCAAGGAAAGAGATAAGGATAAGGTAAGGGAAGGATGAATCAACTTACTTTTTAATGTTGGTGTTGTTTTGGTGTTGGGTTTGGTGTTGTTGTTGGTGGTGGTTCCTGAAAAAGAAAAGAAGAATAATTACATATATAAATATATACAATATAAAAAACATACCTTTTTGTGTTGTTGTTGATAGCGTTGATGCTATGGTGTTGATGGTGTTGATGCTGAAAAGAAAAAAAAGTTGGTTAAATAATGGTGAGTTCAAAGATGAATAAACGATAGAAAAACTTACCTTTATTTGTTAAAATAAACAAAATCAAACTAAATGAAACTAAGTTAAATAAAACTAAATGAAAACTTTTTTGTTTATGTTGTTGATGTTGTTGATGTTGTTGGTGTTGATGATGTTGATGATGTTGATGATGTTAGTGTTGATGCTGAAAAGAAAAAAAAGTTGGTTAAATAATGGTGAGTTTATGGATAAATAAACGATAAAAAAACTAACCTTTATTTGTTAAAATAAACGAAATCAAACTAAATAAAACTAAGTTAAATAAAACTAAGTTAAATAAAACTAAATGAAAACTTTTTTGTTGATGTTGTTGATGTTGATAAACAACTGAATACAAAACATTTAACATGAACCAAAAGAGAAAGATGGAACCGACAAAAAATTAATAATCATTATCATGATTATCATAATTTTCATGAAAATCTTCAACATCTTTTGATGAAATTGTTTCACAAGGCAGAAATGAATGACAAACCAGACAAAACAACAATAATAACTTTATTAATGATATTACACCGATTATTGAGACTCACCATTGTAAACTCAAATTAGAGGCAAGATTGGATTAGGAATAAACAAGCAAATTTAAATGAAAATTTGCTCGAGATTGGATGAGATTAATTATATTGACCAAGATGTTTGTTTCGTTGCTCATTTCGCTTCATCATCAGCTTACCTTTTCCATGGCTTCAAGGTGAGGTGGAGATTTCAAGATTGGAAGAATGGAAGATTGGTGAAGAAAATTAATGATGATAATGATTTCAATTGTTTGGGCCTGTTACCAGCCTAAAGCCAAGCTAAAAATCGATTAACTTTTATTCACTTTTACCTTAAACCATTGTCAAACTGGAAACTCACAGTTGTTCACTTTTATCCGTTTCAATTAAAGTTAGTTAATCAGGTCCAAAAAGGCGAACCTTTTGAGAAAAAGCGTATCTACAACTCTTGCAGTTGCATTTCCCATCTTCTGGAGTGAACTTTGCTAACCAATACCAAATTTCGAGCCTCAGCGAATAACCCATATTTACAATCCTTCAAATGTCGGTTTTTAACACCTTTTATATTGAAATTAAGCACCAAAGAATTTTCCCATTGTACCTTAGTTACGTCCAGCATTTTACTATCAACTTCTACCCGTTCACGGGAAACTAATTTTTTCCAATGGTATTCACCGTCACGAGTTTTTGCGGTCCCTCCTGCTAAATAGCGTCCAGCTTCATCGACATCACTTTCTTCTTCTGCGGTATCACTGTTTTCACTATTATCGACTTCAGTGTCACAGTCTAAATTGTAAAGATCTTCACGTTGATTCAACTCGGCCATTCTTTCAATAATAACAAATTAAAGTAACACAGAAACACGTCAAGTAAAGAAAATAAACTTAAAACAACAATTTGAGGACAGTGAAAAGTTGTTAGTGCGGGAAAATTTAACATAAAAACATGTTTGTAAACAACGAGTCCTCGTTGAGTACATTTTTACTTAAACACTTTTTGTTGCATATAAAACTTTTTCTTATCGTAAAATAAACAGAGTTAATCTCTCCGGAGAAGTGCGTCATTTCATTTTCATCATTACAATACAACTTATCCCCCCTTACACAATGTTATTGAATAAGGATTCTACATTTTTGCCCCAGTCTGTATTTTCATGAGATTCTTAGGTTAGGTTTCATATTTTTCGTCGTTGTAATTGAATCAAGGCTTTCATACTGTGTAATTTTTTTTCTTAGAACCCGCTCAGTTTGGCCACAATCTTGACGCAAAAATTTGATACTTTGATTTTATATATTGTATAGATGTATAGATGTATAGATGTATAGATGTATAGATGTATAGATGTATAGATGTATAGATGTATAGATGTATAGATAAAGGAAAAACCGAGTCATCGTTTGCTCCGGACAACCTAATAGATCCACACGACAGTTTATCTCACGCTTTCCTTGATTAACCATATGATTAGTAATCATTGATTACCCCTTTTCAGGCTACACTGGTGTTACGACTGATGTTGCAACTTGTGATGAAGATAATGAAGATCAAGGTTTGATTAATTGTCACCAAAGCCTCTTCCATTATCTGAGTTACATTTTATCAAACAAAAGCTGTGATAAGTTTTATATAAAAGTTACTGGAAATGACATGAAGTAGACTTTTTCTGAGAAGTTATTAAAAAGATAAATAGAATTCTCAATCTTTATCAGACCCTTTTCCCTTACCTTTTAACCCTTTTCAATAAGGATCGTTGAAAAAATTATTCCCATTATCTGGAACATCACTGTACAGGGTGTACAATGGTTTGAACTATGCTGCTTTTCATGTCATTTTATATCTAAAAATTAGTTTGAAAAAATCTATTTCTTATGCGAGTTCCGTCCTCCTTTTTTCGAACACTTTTCATTAGAGTTTTTCAAGTCCAGAATGAATAGCCACTTGTAGATAATTCAATTTTCTAGAATCAATGAAATGACAAGCTAGATATTTTTCTTCGGTTGATACAGCTTAACACAATTCCTACAACTTCTCAATAGAGCGAACTCGGTGCGATTTTTTTTCAGTTTCGTCTTTTCTAACGAATTTGAGGTCATCTTCCGAAAATCATTAAAAATAAGTAAAAATAAGCCTTTAACAATGAGCTTTCCCCATTTACTGGAATTACTCTTTTCGAGAGTCCATTTCATTTGGCCTTATCTATTACATTTGTTTTTTGAATAAAAATAAACTTTGTATTTGAAGTGCCTCCATTGATTTTACACAATTAAATCTTTGAATTATCCATTTTCTGGAGCCTTTGCTTCTTTGTGCACTAAAAACACACGCAAGTTTCTGGAAACTTACAATATCATGACTGTAATTGACTTGAATTTTAGTTAGTTTTAATGAGAACGATAATATAAATGATTTGGTTTATTATCACAGACAAGTTACAATGAACAATGGCCATTTCTGAGAAACATCAATTTAACAGCACACAGGGAAGCTTGACCTTTGCTCTTTTATATTTACTTATCACAAATTTTGCATTGATTAGAATGCTCAAAGGGTAAAATTGCAGTTTTATTATTTCCTGATTCCTAGAATTGGTAATCAGAATTTAAGTTCATTTTATTAGATGATTGTTTCTTCGACAATAGCAAGATCGCATGATTTCTGCACAATAGGAGTAAAGTAGTAAAGAGAAAAATATTATTCGGTATAAATATACCTTTGAAAAATCATTCAATATCCAATTGAACAAGAAATTGATATTTCTCGAGTTTTAATTTTAATTTTGTTTAAAATGTTTCCAAAAGTATTCTTATTGCTTCTACTTTCGCTGTGCAATGTTAAATTTTCAAGTCAAACGATCATTGAAAGAAAGTGTAATGACAAATATGAACCAACTAGATACGAAGGCTTTGCCGATGATGGAGAGCTGGTGTTAGCAGCCGTTTTCCAAATGGAATCGACAGATGCTTTTGATCCAATACTAAGTGTCGAGCTGCGGCCTTACACTAACAGAAGTTCTTGGAGTGCCATCTATTTTGAATTCGAAGACAAGTTTACTCGTTCAAGTTATATCTTCGACTACAAACATGCTCATAATAAATCCTCTTGCAGCTCTGGTTTTTTTGTCGCCAAAGAAAAATCTAATTGCATTATAAACCAAGGCACGTGTAAGTGGCTGATCAAAAGTGACAAGGATACTGACCAATCATTGATAGACATGATTGCCCTGACGGACGTAGCGAAAATTACGATTACAAATGCGTTGAGTCTTAAGATTGTTAAAGATGTGACTGGTCTTCCGATATATCATTGGTCATATGCTCGATACTGTGAATACAACAAGAAAATATACGATATTGATGGCAATATGATAACTTTGAAGAAAGAAAATGGTTCATTTGAATTGTTCATCTACCTCCATACCGAGAGCGAACTCGAGAACCCAAGACAATTAACCTTGATCAATTCAAAAAACAGTTCAATAACTATCTTTTGTGATGATGAAAGAAGAGACATTATTGCTTTGACTAAGACTGGATCCAAGGAAGAGTCAGTGATGGACAAATATATATTTAGAAAGTACATGGATAGACTTCGATGTGGCATCTCTTTGTCACTCGAAATGGAAAGCAAACATTCATCATTTTCTTTTAATGATGTACCATTGAAACTTATTTATAAGTATAAGGGTTCTGATAATATAATACAACAAGTAAAATTTGAGTCTGACTTCATTGATTCACCTGAAATTGAAACTACTTCAACAGCTTCTGTGGATAAACATGATGTTGTCGATGAAAACCAGGAACATGATAAAGTTAATCCTTTAATAGGAGTTGCCTTGACTATAATAACTGTAATTAAATCTTATTTCGATCTTTGGTGATCAATAAACTAGATTTTAGTGTTTAAAATAACTTATTTACTCGAGTCGTTTAAAGGACAATAGCCAAATCGGCCCAAGATTCAGAATTTGTTCAACCACATATCAATCGAAAGCTTATGATGAGTAGAGTATGCCTCCCTAAAAATCAGGTCAAAGTTCGTATCCTCTGGGGAGTTATTCAGCAAATCCCTTGGGACCCGATGAGGACCACCTCAGACATATTTTTTCAGATAGAACTTTGCATGACAATTCCAATGATGCTATGTATGTTGCTCTAAACCTGTGGCTTTTTGAGTTATTTTACTTTGAAAGTTTTGCATGCTGCAAATGAATATATAAAGCCGTGGCGTTTCTTAAAAACCCTATGAGGACCACCTCTCACCTAGTACATATTGTTCAACGCCTTGGACACTATCATAAAAAGTCAAAAATAATTCTCTAAACATGTGGTTTTAGATTTGCCATCTACAAGTCACTTTTTCATAATGTTCATGAATCTTCAATGTCGTGGCGTTTCTTGAAAACCCTATGAGGACCACCTCTCACCTAGTACATATTGTTCAACGCCTTGGACACTATCATAAAAAGTCAAAAATAATTCTCTAAACATGTGGTTTTAGATTTGCAATACATTTTTTCATTTTCCAAAAGTGAGTTGTAGATGGCAAATCTAAAACCACACATTTAGAGAATATTTTTGTACCTTTTCTTATAGTTTTCAAGGCTTTGAATAATACGTACTAAAAGAGGTGGTCCTCATAGGCAAAAAACGAAACGCCACGACATTGAAGATTCATGAACATTATGAAAAAGTGACTTGTAGATGGCAAATCTAAAACCACATGTTTAGAGAATTATTTTTGACTTTTTATGATAGTGTCCAAGGCGTTGAACAATATGTACTAGGTGAGAGGTGGTCCTCATAGGGTTTTTAAGAAACGCCACGGCTTTATATATTCATTTGCAGCATGCAAAACTTTCAAAGTAAAATAACTCAAAAAGCCACAGGTTTAGAGCAACATACATAGCATCATTGGAATTGTCATGCAAAGTTCTATCTGAAAAAATATGTCTGAGGTGGTCCTCATCGGGTCCCAAGGGATTTGCTGAATAACTCCCCAGAGGATACGAACTTTGACCTGATTTTTAGGGAGGCATACTCTACTCATCATAAGCTTTCGATTGATATGTGGTTGAACAAATTCTGAATCTTGGGCCGAAAATCGCACATTTTGGCTATCCTCCTTTGTTATCAATCCTCATGGTAAATTTTTAGAGATTTATTGCTCTGTGATTTGATATTGAATATTAAATTAATAAATATTAAAAAAATTTCGCATCAATTTTGGCAATTTCATTATTAATACAATGTTTGAGCTTTAAAATATGTATTCAAAAAGAATGAAACAAGAAGACTGTAAAGACTTCTTAAAGGTATCTTGTAAATACCTTTAGCATGAGACTAATTCTCGCATTAAAAATATTTCCATTCAGTACATTAATCATTTCGTTGATTGTAATTAATGAATACAGCGACGAAAATTGTTCTTATCAAAAGAGAATGTTCACTATGCTCTTTTTTCACATGTTCCGTTGGCGATGGATCGCCTGACCTAGTAATATAATAAATATATTGCAAGAATGTATCGTGTCGATCATCAGATTGAATGATCCATAAAAATTCATCTTCATTTTTCCTCTGATAAGTTAGTGAGTGAAATGATTCCTTTTCTAGTAGCAAATTTGAATCCAGTGAATCCACCAGCAAAGGCCATTAAGCAGACTATTGTCCCCAATCCAATTGCTATCTTCAAATTATTTAATTTAGTTGGTGATTCAGGTGGTGATATTAATGCAGATGACTGGGGATCACTTTTTCCTGAAATTTTCTTGTGATTTATGTAAATTGAACAAATTTTGTTGGTGCTTTTTGATTCTGCAAACAGTCCAGGTTGATTAACATTACTTGGTTTCAAGTTTGTCAATGAACAACTCGTCAATGAAACACTGCTATCGAAAATTTTATCATAGTCGATTGATTCACAAAACTCGAGAGTAAAACAATTAGGATCTGCATTGCATTCGGAAGCACAATGCTCTAATGAAAGAGGATCAAAAGTTCTAACAATTGATTCTTTCATATTATCTTTCAATGCAAGTCCAACTTTATGTTCATAATCAAGTTCAGATTTTTCTGTAAAAAGTAAAAAGAATGAATAATTAGTAAATTTCAATCAGATTTGAAACAATGTTTGGTTAAAGTAAAGGTTTTTACTTGAATAATGGGAACATCCAGCTTCAGCAAACTTCCAGTTTGTTACATTTATTTGATGAACTTTATCAATCTTAATGTGGTTTACGTGTAAGAAACAAACAGATTCAATGCTGGAAATAAGAATAAAAAATATAATTAAAATATCAATTCAATAGCTTTCTGTATCTTTACGCATTGTTCATTGATCATTTAATTGTTCAAGTTCATTCATCACAAAAATTTTGAGTTAAATTTCGACTTACCGTTGATTATTATCCTGGCAATAATCAAATGATTCACAATTGAAATCCTTTGAATGAACACATCTTTTAGCACAATCACCAATCGGTACATCAGCTATGGTTGAGACGGCATTCAGAACTAGACTTTTGCCAGGATACTCATGGAATAGATTCATAAATGACTCTAGATTTCAGCAAACATTAAACAAAATTAATTCAAGAAACAAATATGTAACATATTTACTTTGATAGATGTTACATCCATCTGCATGACTTGTTTTGTCTTCAAGTGCGTCTTTCAATGAACTCGATGTTTCTCCACTCAGAATACATTCCTTATTCTGGTCAATACAATATGAAAGTGTGTTACAATCATCATCGTTCAAACAAGCCTTAAAACAATCTTGAAGCGTACTTTTCTCAATCTTGAATTGTGCTTCATTGAAATGGCGATCAGTGTTTATCATCGGAAAATCTTCAGCTCTTAAAGGACTGGAACCACTTGTATGCAGTTCCTGGGAAATATCACCAATCTCTTCAGGTCCATTCACGATGAACAAATCTTCAGCTGATAGGTCAACACTGGCTAAACGAAATTCGCCTGCTGAGACTTTATTCCGTATCTGTTGCAACACGTATGGGATTGTTGACAAATAATTTGCTTCAATCAGTGGTGTAGCATCAACCGTTGAAGATCTAAAGTAAAATTGGCAGTCATCGTTGCGTTCAGTTTCGACATTATCATGATTTTTTTCAGTAAAAATTAAACAATCATAGTCCGTACAATAACTAAAACTGAAACAATTTGCATTTGAATTGCACAGTTGTTCACAGTCCTCGACTTTAGATCTTTTAACAATATTTGAAGGATCCAAAATTTTGCTTTGATCAAAACGAGTATAAGCCTTAATGAAATGTACACGATCATAAAGCTTAACAGTAACATATATATTAGAATCGACTTCTTGTGTATGAATTGAACCAATGCGAGTTATTGGAATGAATGAAGTCAAGTATTCTTCTGTCGATTCCTTAATTTCTTGCATATTGTAGTTACTGGTCCATGGATTTGAAAAGAGCAGTTGAAACCAAGTGAAGTTTCCTGGTTCTTCATAACAACCAGAGACGTCGAATCGATCTTCATAGTCAATGTGACTGTCTTCGTAATCAATTATGGTTACTTCAACTTGAGGGGGAGAGTGATAGAAACCATAGTCATCGTCACTTCTATCTTGGGTGAATATAACTTTACTTGGAATAGAATTACTTGCGTTCTTTGTATAATAATAGTCAATAATGGCATCAACATCATTTGAAAAGAAGTTAGTTGCTCTGTATTCTTCTACTCGAAAAGGTCCTAAAGGTAGCTCACCAATGAAAATTGGTGCATGATCTTGAGGTGGTTTCATTACCAGATAATACAAAAGATTGAACCTAAGATCTTGATGAGGAGAAGGCCAACGGGTGAAAAGTGTACCATAAGACAGTGGTATATAATAACGACATCGACCAGTGTGTTTCTCAACTTCAAATCGACCTAGAGGGGGAGGCATTTCAATGGAACGAAGAAAATAAGTTTCTTCTTGAATTTCGTATGAAATGACTTCGCCTCGTTTCATTACTCGAGCAGTTGATTTGCTAGGGTCACGGTCAGAATAAGTGATTATCGCTTCCATGTCCATAGTAAATTCATTAACTTGACTAAAGTCTGGTAATGGAGTAGATGGAAGAGTACCTTTACGAGCACATCCATAACCCAATGGGTATGGAATTGGATCAGATACTGATATGACCAGGGGTTTGAACATGTAAAAGTTGTAAACATATTTTGACTCGGAATCAACTTGCTTTTTAACTGTTCGAGTTTCATTTATTGAAACACTTATTTATCACTTATACTATGGGCATAGATCATCAATCCTGTTGGTCCCAAATGAATCAAGTCTTTAAACATCTCTGAACTAGCGACAATATCAGTTGGTTCGAACCAATCTTTGATTGATTCAATCTTCTCATTTTGAGTCAAGTCCAACCTTGTACACTTATTTTCTCGAACAGCAATCTTTTCCTCTGTTGAATGATAATAATAACGTCGATTCATTTTACCTTGAATGGTTGCTTCCAAGTCAATCCAGCCAACTTTATTTTTCCAATCGTAATAATCATGGATTAAATTTTTTCGAGTTGGATTAATGACTTCAACAGAAGCATGATAACCAGTTTGTTTGGCAATCAAACTGAGAACATTTGGAACTTTCAATTCACCCACTTTACCCCTTTCAGGGCATTTGAAGTCATCACAAAGAATTGAGTTTATTAAGTAATAACTAAAACAAAATAAAAAAGAAAATTTGAGATCGATTGACATCTTCGACTTTTATTTGTAAAATTCAGGTTGCGAAAGGTGGTTTCAATATTCAATCCGCACCTAAGAGATTGATCTGAAATTGGAAAACTGTGTGAAGAAAAATTTTATTTGAACAATTTATTTATTAGCATTGAAAGAGGCGTTAAGCCAGTAAGACCAAGCAAAGGCGTGGAAACGTTTAATTAAATTTTATCTCTGCCATGTTTGTGACACAGGTGACAATATGTGAGAATTAGATTAATCATTTTCGCCCTCCTTGTATTTGATCAAAATTTATTGATTATGTTAATAAAGGATGTTGCGGATAAAAATTGGAAATTATCAAAAATGTATTAAAACTGTTCCCTCTGCATTCAACAATTGGCTTCTCAAGAGGCCCAGTCAATTACCTAGCAATCAATCTTCAGATCTTGGTTACAAATTTAAAAACGACTTTGTTTTGTTTTTCGATGAACCAGTTGATTTTCGTGCTATTAGTTCCTTTTCTTACTTTTACATTTCTAATTTGAAGCCAAATGTTAAATAAAGTCTGAAATTTTGATAAATTGAAAATTATTATTAATATAAGAGTAATGGATGTCTGATGTAGTCGAGTCTCGAGTAGAGCAAAACATCAACGTAAGTAACTCGATCACCAAGGATCAACATGTTTGAACCAACTTCTCAATCAAATAAGAATCCAAATGAGACTGACGATTTCATATTCATGGTCATCTGAACGTACCAAGTGACCATAATGTACACATCATTTCAAAGGCACCTTGTTCAGCGATATTGGATAGAATTGCTTCCAGTTCGTTTCTCGGTCTTAAATCATGTTAATGAACCGAAAGCTGCCAAGAATTTCAAAGTTGGTCCAAGAGATGGTTCAATGATGATTGAATAAAACATATTTTATGATTTATTAATCCAATGGACCAGATTCAGTGCATCATTTCACTACGATATAACCTTGGCAAATAAAACAAATAAACTCATTCAATTTAAATCCTTTCAGATCCACGCGACAGTTTATCTCACGCTTTTCTTGATTTACCATATGATTAGTAATCATTGATTATACCTTTTCAGCTCACACTGGTGTTACGACTGATGTTGCAACTTGTGAATTGATGAAGATAATAAAGATCAGGGTTTGATTAATTGTCACCAAAGCCTCTTCCATTATCTGAGTTACATTTTATCAAACAAAAGCTGTGATAAGTTTTACATAAAAAATTACTCTTTTTGAAAGACCATTTCATTTGGCCTTATCTATTACATTTGTTTTTGAATATAAATAAACTTTGTATCTGAAGTGCCTTCCATTGATTTTACACAATTAAATCATTGAATTATCCATCTTCTGGAGCCTTGTATGAAAGTTACACCCAAAATACACGCAAATTTCTGGAATCTTAAAATATCATGACTGTAATTGACTTGAATCTAAGATATTATAGTTTTAAGAGATGGGATTTGAAGAGACGGGAGTTGAGATCGATAATATAAATGATTTGGTTTATTCTCAAAAAAGCTACAATGAACAATGGCCATTGCTGAGAAACGTCAATGTAACAGCACACAAAGAAGCTTGACTTTTGCTCTTTTATATTTACTTATCACAAATTTAGCATTGATTAGAATGCTTAAAGGGTAAAATTGCAGTTTTATTATTTCCTGATTCCTAGAATTAGTAACCAGAATTTAAGTTCATTTTCTGAGTGATTGTTTCTTCGACAATAACAAGATCGCATGATTTCTGCACAATAGGAGTAAAGTAGTAAAGAGAAAATATTATTCGTTATAAATATGGCTTTGAAAAATCATTCAATATCCAATTGAACAAGAAATTGATATTTCTCGAGTTTTACTTTTAATTTTTGTTTCAAAATGTTTCCAAAAGTATTCTTATTGCTTTTACTCTCGTTGTTTAATGTTAAATTTTCAAATCAAACGATCATTGAAAGCAAGTGTAATGACAAATATGAACCAACTAGATACGACCTAATTACCTATGGTGGTGATCTGGGGTTAACAGCCGTTTTCCAAATGGGATCGACAGATGCTTTTGAGCCAATACTAAGTGTGGAGCTGAGGCAATACGCTGACGAAAGTGAGAATACCGTTTATTTTAAAATCGAAGACGAGTTAATTGATTCATTTTACATGCTCAAATGCGATCATTATGCTGATAATAAATCCACTTGCAGCTCTGGTTTTTTGGGTGACGAAGAAGAATCTAATTGTATTATAAACCAAGGCACGTGTAAGTGGCTTATAAAGGTTGGTACGAATGCTCTGCTTCAAAGTGAAAAAAGCCCTGAAATATCATTAATAGACATGATTGCCCTGCCGAACGTAGCGAAAATTACGATTACAAATTTGTTCAGTCGTGATATTGTTAAAGATGTGACTGGTCTTCCGATATATCAATGGTCATATGCTCGATACTGTGAATACAACAAGAAAATATACGATATTGATGGCAATATGATAACTTTGAAGAAAGAAAATGGTACATTTGAATTGTTCATCTACCGCCTTACCAAGAACGAACTCGAGAACCCAAGACAATTAACCTTGATCAATTCAAAAAACAGTTCAATAACTATCTTTTGTGATGATGAAAGAAGAGACATTATTGCTTTGACTAAGACTGGATCCAAGGAAGCATCAGTGCTGGACAAATATATATTTAGAAAGTACATCGATAGACTTCGATGTGGAATCTCTCTGTCGCTCGAAATGGAAAGCGAACATTCATCATTTTCTTTCAATGATGTACCATTGAAACTTATTTATAAGCATAAGGGTTCTGATAATATAATACAACAAGTAAAATTTGAGTCTGACTTCATTGATGTATATTCACCTGAAATTGAAACTACTTCAACAGGTTCTGTGGATGAACATGATGTTGTCGATGAAAACCAGGAAACTGATAAAGTTAATCCTTTAATAGGAGTTGCCTTGACTATTATAACTTTAGTTAAATCTTATTTCGATCTTTGGTGATCAATAAACTGTAGATTCTGAATCAATTTACTCGAATCGTTTAAATTTGTTATCAATCCTCATGGTAAAGTTTCAGAGATTTATTGCTCTGTGATTTGATATTGAATATTAAATAAAAAAAATCGCAACCATTTTTGCAATTTCATTATTAATCTTACTTTCGATGCAACCTTCATTCGTCAGAAATTCTGGTCATCTTACAGCTTGGCTCTTTGTCCAAACAACGACCATGTTTTTGGCTTTAAATCTTAAAAAGGGTGAAATTTCAGTTCTATTCAATTTTATTTTACGGCTTGTAGTCAGTATTAGCTCAGCCGGATCATCCGAAGCATGACTTGAAGACCATCGTAGACATAGGCTCTGTCGGAAACAGCAAAATCCTCGTCGTTTTTTGTCTATTATCAACTGATCATCACGTCTTATTACGATGATGGCAATTGAAAATCGTACGGCATGCTTCCTGCCACCATTACATTAAACTCCCATTGCAGGGAAGGAAATACTGAAAGCTGAAGGAGTTTGCAATAAACAGTTACAGTAATCTAGAACGCATAATTAACCTCTAGAAGAAGGTACAATTAGTTACTGAGGTTTAGAACTGATAATGAGTTTTCGGGTATTAGCTATTCTTATTCTTTAGCTATTAGGATAAAATGTTTATTTTTAAAGACATAATTTATGCGTGATCCTATTCGTATCTTGATTTTATTAAATTACAAAAATGCTGGCTATTCTGCATAATACAAAGATGAGTTGAAAATCATAGACAATGTTGATCATCGCTATTTTCCGGTAAAAGAAAGATAGTTTGTTCCAATAATGGTTTGAATTTCATGCCTAATAACTAACAAAGTTGTAAGATTAACGTGAAACTAATCGGTAGATTCATTTCTAATTAATCAAGATATTTAACCCAAATATCTTTGATTGATCTTGAAGAAGCCTTAAGGCTTCTTAATAACCCTTACAGGGGAAAAATGCATGAAAAAGCTAATTGGAAGCTTATTTCTGAATTTTTGCAGTGGAACCCTGATAAATGGAAAGATTACCAGAGGTTCCGTTCAACAAATTTTGTGCAAAACAAACACATTAATGTGACCAAAGAAAGTATTTTTTGGAATAATATTAAAATAACAAGCTGCGGTGCAGCTCACCGGCTAAGAGATGCAAAGAATATTGCTTCCAGTGAACTGATCAACACGGTTCTGGAAATAGATCCAGCTCTACACATGGTAAGTTCTTGTGCTTAACAGTGTAACCTATTCCGGTTATATTGTTGAGCAGAGTTGAGAGCTTAATTACCTCCGGATTGGACGTTAAATAAGGGCTCATTGAATTTTATTCAGTAAGCAACTAACTTCGTACTTTATTTTTTAATGCATTCAGCCTCACTGTGCTATTGGAATGTCCAATTACAGAGGAAATTGCTTCTTTGTACCTACCTTTGTTCTTCTATTCACTA